CCTGCCCCCTCTGCCATGCACCGGTCTCTGTGGGCAAAGGTGAAGGAGAGGAATTCGGGGGGAGGCAGGGCTGGACCCGGGGAAGGAGCCTGGCCTGGTGGTGGGGAGAGCAGGGCCAGTGCTCTCTGTCTTTTCAGAAACTGACAGTGGGTGCAGCATGTCCCTGGGTCCTCCCCTGGGATCCCGAGTCCCTGCAGGGTCCTGCCTGGAGGGGGGTGGCTGCAGCAGGCATCTCAGGGCACCTGTTGACAGAAGAACCTTGAAGACAGGTGACCCCGTCCCAGTTTGCCGCCCAGAGGAACCCTAGGCCACTCATTTTATAGCAGCTTGAGTCTGAGAGTCCATGTGAAGGACCCTTACCTGACCTGTGACCCCTGGCAAGTCTCTGCCCTTCTGGGCCTCAGTTTCCCCATCTGTGCAGGGTTGCCCTGAAGGCTTTTGCAGCTCTGACCAAAGACTGTGCCCACCCCTCTCTCCCGATGGGGGCTCCTCCAGGGTGAGCACAGAGTGGAGGCACAGGCGGCCACCTTCTCAGGGATCACATTCCCCACGGGAGAGAGGCGTGTCCCCGAGGTGTGACCACATCTTTCTGGGAAACGCCCACAGTTCAGTGCTTCCCGGGTCTGAACTGGAGGACTCGCCTCCCCCTGGCTCACGTCCCCTTGGATCTATTTTTGGCCTTGGCAGGCTTGATGTGGTGGAGTGTGCGGTGTCCCCTGTAATTTGGGGTCTGAAGCCGGCTGAGGTCCGGGCGGGTAATTATGCTGCAGAGCCATTTATGGAAAGATCTCTGAAAAAAGTCAGTAATGAGAACCGACTAAAAATACCGCAGCCGTGCCACCTGGGGCTCCTCTCGGCAGCGCTGAGATTTCTGGGGGGAGGAAGCCCTTCAGGACGCAGAATCGATAGGTGATCAATTCCTCGGCTCCCCCGTGGGCCTGCACCGGCCGAGGGGACCCGGGTCAGTTTTAGGTCTGAAGTGGGCGGGTCGGCCTCAGTTACCGATAGGACCAGCAAGACAGGCCCAGCCCGTCCGCCTCCGGGACCCTGAGCTGCCCTCTGTCTCGAGGCCGGCAAGTCCCACAGGAAAGTGAAACACATGCGTGGCCTCTGATGGAGACACCGTGACAGGCAGCCTCTCCCAGACCAGCAGCAGTGCCCTAGCCCACAGCTGGGGTGCTGGGCCCTGAGCCACTGTCCTGGGGACCAGGAGCTGTTGGGAAGAAGGGGATGGAGCCTCCTGCTTCCACTTCACACTGCTTGGTCCCTGCCCTCAACTTGCTCACTGTCCATGGTGGCAGAGGGGCCCCTGGGATGGGGGAAAGGGTGAGACCAGCAGGCTGATCTGTGTGGGGTCAGAGGAGGACAAGGGGCTTTTACAGCTGGACGGAGAGGAAAGCAGCCTTCAGACATGGGATGGGGCCACCCAGAAGACAGTGGCTTCTGGGGGGTCTTGAGAGAGTGTTGGGAATTGGAAAGCCCCGGGGGCCGTGTGGACAGGCTGGGCCAGCTCAGGAAGGTCCTGGAACACAGAGTTGAGCTAAGGCCCCTCCTGGGGCCCTGCCAGGCTTGGGGAAGAGTTTGAGGGCAGGAAGGACAGGCGGGCAGGTTGGAAGATTCTATTCTCTTAACAGCCTCTCTGGGCCGGAGTAAGAGGGGGTCTTTTGCGGTCTTACTTTTTGGACAGAAACAAGATAGACTTAGGTCATCTGGGTGACCACATTTTCTCCCAGGCACGAAAATAGCCGAAGCCTTTGCTGGTGTCGGGCTGGTGGGTGCAGGGTGTGGCACCTGGAGGTCTGGCCTGTGAGGGGCAGGTGCAGGGCCTCAGGATGTTGACGGTGGTCGTGGCTGTGGAGGCTGCCTCCTGCTCACAGGGGCCCTTCCTGCAAACACGGGACCCGGACGTTGTGTAATTGGGCTGGAGGAGAAGGCCAGGGTCCCATTAGCGCACGGTGACTCATGACTGTTTATTGTTCTGGAAGCCACGTTAAGGCAGTTCAGAAACTAAATCTGTGTGCTGCTTCCCCAGACAGAAGCTGGTTCCGTGTGTGAACATTTCGGGCAGCCTTTGTAATTTTGTGGAAAATAAACATGTAGAGGTCCCTATTGAGCAAGGCATAGCTTTGTGTGTCTCTCATGCCCAATGAATAGCTTCGTGCACATGGCTTCTCATCCTTTGCCATCTTGTCCTTGGGACCCATGTGTCAAAGGATAAATTCATACGCAATTTTGCTAGGGTATTGCAAGAGGGTACCGCCAGCTTCCTCTCCACAGCATTTCTACCAGTGACGTGTGTGAACGTTTACGTCCGCTCTTAACTGTTTCTCAAAGGGATGCCATACTGACCACCCTAAGAAGAGCACTGCCCACCCCTTTTCTGTTACTCCTGACCCCACAGCCCTCTCTGTTCCACTTTCAGTAGATGGCATCCCCTCTTTTACTTCTTTTGTTGTTTATATTCCCTCCCCATTAGACCGTAAACTACATGAGTGCAGAGACCTGAGTTCTGTCTTGTTTACTGCTGTATTCCATGGCCAGACAGACTCTGATCTATAATAAGAGTTTTTTAAAATCCTCACCCAAGGATATGTTTATTGGTTTTAGAGAAAGAGGAAGTGACAGAGAGAGAGAGACAGACAGACAGACAGACATATGGATTGGCTGCCTCCCCCATGGGCCCTGACCAGCGATCATGCCTGCTACTGAGGTGTGTGCTCCGACCGGGAATTGAATCCACCACCTTTTGGTGCATGGGATGCGCTCCAACCAACTGAGCCACACTGGCCTGAGCCACACAGTAAGAATTTGATATTTTTGTTGATAAATTGAACTTGCTAAAGTAATGAATAAATAAATGAGCAAGTGAGTACAGAAAAACGTCGTTCAGAGTCTCCCTTTCCCTCCACCCAATGGCTTTGGAATCTCGGACATGGCCTCCGGGCACTATCACATCTTAGCACGAAGTTGGGAGATTGCAGGTCAGGTTCATCCTAAACTCCCGTTGCGTGGCCACCCCGCCCAGCCCATTGCTTCTTTCCAAAGCCCTTTCATGGCCCGTGAGGAAAGCTGGGCAGCATCTCTATTCCCAGTTCACAGAGGAGGAGACGAAGCCCAGAGGGGAAGTACATGCCTGGTGGGTGCACGGTCAGGCCTGCACTCCAAGCTGCTGAAGCTGCCTCACTGGCAAAAGCAGCTTGATCTGCACAGTTAACAAGGAGGAAATCGAGGCCAGAACATGCTTTCTCAGAACACCGCCTGGGGAAATACCTCTCCGAACTCAAAGCACCTGCAAAAGCTGCAAGTCCACAGGTGTCCTCCTCCCACCCTCCCCGCTGACAAGATGCTCTCTCTACCCAGTTCCATGCATCAGGAAATTTCACCGACTTTCGATGAAAGCATTTTTGTAGCAATGTCCCATCTTCCGGGCCTTGCCGGGAGCAGCCAGGGGGGCCGTTTCCTGAGCTGGAGCTCCTGCTGGTTTATCAAAACGCAGGACGAAGTTTGGAACGGAGTCGGTTAAAGTGAACAAGGTGCTCTTGCCCCGGCGAGGGAAGGAGGCCGCACGGCGTGGTGCCCGCGTGGAGCTGGCAGGTTTGCGGCTGGTTCCCTCGTCCCCGATCCAACATGGGACTCAGCCTCAGGCCTGCAGACAGAGTCCCGGTGACCCGCCCGCCAGTCCCCACTGTGCCTGGGGGTAGTGCACGTAGCGATGCTCTGAGAGGGTCCGTCCGCTGAAGGGTGTGAAGGAACGACATGCCTTCCTCTGTGCCACACCCCGTGACAGCCAACAGCCGGGGCCAGTTCCGCCCCACGGCCCCGGGATTCCTACACGGCCCGTAACGGACTCGGTCTGTGTGGTCCCCGAATGCGCGGGAATTGTCACCAACGTTGTGCGAGTGCATGTGTCTGCCGAGGACCCTGCCCCCACGCCCTCGGCCTGGGCGGGAGGACCCCGGTGCCGCCGGTGTCTCTGAAACAGCCCGGCTCCCCGTGGGCATTTGCTGCGTGTCCAGCTTCCTGTCTGGTGATGGGCATTCTATTTCCTCTCCTCCCCGGTCTGGGAATGAAACACTCATCTCCTGCCCAAACATGTGTGTCTGCTGGCCCCACCCAGCACAGCTGTTTGCCCGGCCATCACTGGACCAGGTTCCCACCACGGGGACAGGACGTGCTCCCCACATCCGCCTCTGCCACCAGCCTGGTGACTTGTGGTCACCGAGCCCGGTAGCCAGAGAGAGACTTTTTAAAAAGACTCTCAGACATGTAATTAAAATCTCAGTGTTGGGTTTGGGGGAAGGTGCTGGGCGGCTCCCGCCCCTGCTTTCCGGAAACACAGATTTTTAGTGTTTGAAAGTGACAGAAGGCTAAAGTGAGACAGCCCTAAATATACTGTCCTGGGCATTTCCGGCAGCTGGGCATGTGGGATTAATTCTGCACAAGCGGCCTCTTGCCCAAAGTATTGGACCAGGCCCCGCAACGGAGCCACCTCGGGTCCCCCTCCAGCCCATGCTTCACCCCACCTCCACGCACAGCTTCCACACCACACCCTGCTCCCTGCTGCCTGGAGCCTGGCCCCCCACTGGCCAGAGGCACAGCCATGCTCCTAGGCCGAACTCCAACTCTCCTCAGTCAGGCCACCGCCAGACTCACAGCCCGTACCCCACCCTCTGATCTGTGGGTGGCCCTGGCCCACTCAACCTGTGCATTCGATGTCCCCTCTGCCTAGAAAGCCCTCCCTGCCACCTCCCCACCTGCCAAGACTCCGTCATCCCATCCTTTGAGGCCAGTTCAGATGTCACCTCCTCCAGGAAGCCCACCCAGATCCCACCACACCACGGGACCTCCGACTCCCTGCACTGACTGGGCCTCCCCAGGAGCTGTCACTCCCACCTTGCTTCTTGTTTCTTTCCATCTCTCCCTCTGGCCTCCCTCCTCCTTCACCTGCTCCCAGAGGACCCTGCCACCCTTTTGCCCTTCGCTGTGTTTTATGGCTGTTGTCTCCCTGTCTGTGGTGTCATCTCTCAGCTCCAGGCCTTTGCTCACACTGGTCCCTTCCTCTGCAGCATTCTTGTCCCGGGACCTCGTGGTAAATTCACTGTCACCCCCAAGGGCCAGCTCCAATGTCAGCTGTGAGCGCTCACCGTCCCACGTCCCATCCACACACCTGGTGGACTCTGAAGTGCACTCAGTCATGTCCCTGCCGCCACTCGGCCCCTTCTCCTTGGGTCTGACGTCCATCTCTCAGAGGAGGGACCTGTCCTCTGCCTCATCTGTGGGCCCAGAGACAGAGGGGGCGGGGCCGGACCTGCTGGGTCGGAGGCTTGGGGGCCAGAAATGGAAGCTGCCCTTGTTGGCCCCACTGTGCGTCAGGTGCTGTGCTGGGCACCTCACTGCCGGGCTCCGGGATCTCTCAGCACTGGGGGCAGAGCCTGTGGGCAAGCCCATTCCCCAGGAGGAAATGCCTCTCCCAGGCTGTCCCAGCCCCTGGTTCCCACGGGCCCTGCCACCCTGGAGCCGAACCCAGAGCCAGGAGCGAACAGCCTGCTTTGTCTTGCAGTGGAGCTCGACCGCTCCCTGGGCCACCAGGAGCCCCCCTGGAAGGAGTTCCGCTTTGACCTGACCCAGATCCCGGCGGGGGAGGCGGTCACAGCTGCCGAGTTCCGGATTTACAAGCTGCCCAGCACCCACCTGCTCAACAGGACCCTCCACGTCAGCATGTTCGAGGTGGCCAGAGAGCGGGCCAACAGGTGCCTGTCCACACCCCGCCTCCCGGTCAGACTCTGTGGGTGTGTCGGCCCAGCCCTGGGGGACGGACAGGGGCTTCCTGGGAGCACACCCTCCAAGAGGAAGATGCTTGGCCCAAGGACCTGGCACCCTGGCTTCAATCCCCTCCCTGTTGTCCTGGCTGTGGGACCTTGGACGGGTCACTGAGCTCCCAAGCCTCAGTTTCCCCATCTGTCCACGGGGGCGGCAGCACCTTTCTACGGCAGATGCGGTGAGATGAGGCAGGGAGGCGCCCAGCTCAGGGCCAGGAGGGCCGACGCCCCAGGAGTGGTCCCCAGGTGGGCACAGGAAACACAAAGGCAGCTGTGCCGGCTTCGGTTAATTGTTCTTTCGTATCCACAGGGAGTCTGACTTGTTCTTTTTGGATCTTCAGACGCTCCGAGCTGAGGACGAGGGCTGGCTGGTGCTGGACGTGACAGCAGCCAGTGACCACGGGTTGTTGAACCTTAGCAAGGACCTGGGACTCCGCCTCTACGTGGAAACAGAGGACGGTAAGGCTGGGGTCAGGCAGCGAACCTTCTCCTGCGCTCTGATCAGGGGTCCGGGTTGCACCCCAGCTCTGCAGCTTTCTGATGGGGACCTTGGCAGGTTACTTACCCTCCAGGCCTTCGTTTGTCGCCTGTGGAAGGAGGAGTCAGGCCTTCATTCACCCACCAGGTGTTTGGAGCGGAGCCTCCTGTGTCCCAGGCAGTGGGCATAGAAAGCCCGAAGGTGGGCCCCGGATCGCCTGTGTGACTACATCAAGGGGCCGCAGGGCTGGAGCAGAGGGGTCAGGGAGAGTCTGAGGGAGAGGAGCTGAGAGAGGCAGGCAGCAGCATTCTGAGTCGGGGTAAGCCAGCTAAGGGGTGGAGTTTTTAGGGAGCGTCTTGAATTGCACAGCAGTGGAGGGCGGCAGGGTCTGAGCTAGCTTTGCATAGAAGAGCCCTCAAGGAGGTGCGGCATCACTCCCATTCCTCAGTGTGGCAGTCCTCAGTGACCGGCTTCCCCAGGACAGTGTGCAGGGGGAGGGGAGGGAACTGGACGGTGGGGGAAGCTGACCAGCACCACCTCAGCCAGGCGGTCAAGGTTCCCATGGAAACTCACTGGGCTCCGGTGTAGCCCGGATGTGGGGGATGGGAGGGCTCTTCTCCTCGGGGGCTTCTCCCCAAACCCATGGCCCAGGGTCGCCATGAGAAAAATACCAGACAAACCCCACTGAAGGGCGGCCTACTGAATGCCTGAACCGGCAAGGCCATCAAAAACAGGGCCGCCCGAGAACCGCACAGCCCAGAGGCCTGAGGCGTTGCTGTGACTCCATGTCCTTGGGGTCCTGGATGGGGTCCTGGAGAGGAAAGGGACCTGGAGAAACGAATGAAATCTGAGTAAATCGTGCTGTTGAGTTAAGAAGGTACCAATACCGGCCCATTCGTTGTGACAAATGTACCACAGTAATTGAGATTTAACATTTCCCGGGGGACACTGCGTTGGGTATAGGGGAATTCTCTGTACAATACCTCTGTAAGTTTTTGTACATCTCAACTGTTGTAAGTAAAAGTTTTATTTATTGTATGCATAAGTACACACCCTGACCTCGGCGAGATGTGTAAGCTGTGGGGGCAAGAGTGAAGGGAAGCCAGGGAGGCCCCGGCAGCCAGTGTCCAGGTGAGGGCTGGGGCGGGGGGGGGGCGGCTGGTAGCAGCAGAAATGGAGACAAGTGGGGAGAGGGGCTGGGAATAAAGTGGATGGAGCCATTGGATTTGTTTTTAAATTACAGTTTACAGTCCATACGGTTTTCTGTTAATTTCAGGCGGACAGCATAGTGGTTAGACAATCATATACTTTACAGTCTTCCCCGGATATTTCCAGTACCCACCTGACACCATGCATGGTTATTACGATAGTATTGGCTATATTCCCTATGCTGTACGTTACATCCCGGGACTATTTTGTAATTACCAATTTGAATTTTCTTTATTACCGATTTTAGAGAGAGGGAGAGAGTAGAGACATCAGTGTGTGCTTTCATTATTTATGCATTAATTGGTTGCCTCTTGTATGTGCCCTGACCGATGGGAGGGAAACCTTGGCCTGTGGGGACAATGCTCTAACCATTGGACCACCCAGTCAGGGCCTGGAACTACCAATCTGCACTTCTTAATCCTCCCCTTTTCACCACCACCCCCAATCCCCCTTCCCTCTGGCAACCATCAGTCTGTTCTCTGTGTGCCAGTGGGTTTTTGAAATATATACTTTTTTCCTTCCCTGAGCTGGGGAAGATAGAAGAGGGGCAGGTTTGAGGTGGGGAATGGCTCACTGGTAGCCCTGGCTGAGGTCCATAAAAAAGTCATTCCAGCACAGGTGCGCTGGGGACACAGGTTTGGGAACCAGTGAAACAGAAAAGTGGGTTTAGAGCCTTGAAACCGGGCAGGCACCCGGGAAAGGAGTTCAGCGATGGAGCCGGAAAGGGACTTGCCACTGAGTCTTCCCCTGAGGGGCCCCCCCTGGGGACCTTCATGAGCCCCAGAGCCAGTCCCAGGCCCTGTGGCTGTCCACCTTTCCAGGGTTGGATCAGAGAGGGAGGCTGGGCGGAGTGGTGGCACCAGCAGGCTGGCGTGTCCCCAGCCCGGAGCCCTCCCTGCTCTGTGACTTGTGGCCTGGGGCGCACATGGCCAGCCGCTGCCTGTCCCTGGCAGGGCCCATTCCTGGCAGGCTCCTGGCCGCGTTGCTCAGGGGCTGTGTCCCCACCGGCTGCTCAGGGTCCTCACGGGCCAAGGGCTGCCTGTGTGGCTTCACCGTCAGCGCTTGTACCCACGCCAAGTTCTACAGGGATCGTGGAGGCCGTGAAGGACAACTCTCATGGGGTGAAAATCATGGTTGGGGCTTTGGGCTCTGCGATTCTGGAGAATGTTAGGGGCACTGCTCAGACCCAAGTGGGGCATTTGACTATGATCAGCAGCAACGTGGGCGTGGACCACTGAGGGCTGGGCCTTTACTGGCGGCCAAGCACATGACCCGCATCGCATGGTCTGCCCCTACGTGGGCCACGACCACTTCTTGGCGGGTGAGCTGGAGCTGGAGGTGACCCCAGGGTCCTTTGGCTGAGCGCATCCATGCAGGCGGGGCTGGGGTGCCGCCTTCTACACGCCCAGGGCCAGCGGGACTCTGGTTCAGGAAGGAGGCGCCCCCATCAGGTACGATCACGGCGGCCAGTGGCCATCATGAGCCATCCCAGAGAGGGGAGGAGTTTCACGGGCAGCACTGTCTTTTGGAGCGGCCATCACCCAGGATGTTGCTTTGGTGCAAGGATGGAAAACACTGAGTGGTGAAATGCTATCTCTGGTGGGAGCGCCAGGAAGTTCAACCTGCCCATGTGCACAGCTGCCGAACCTCCGTGGTGGATGTTAAAGAAGTGGTGGGTGTGGGGTTGTTTGCCCCAGAAGATA